GACACCCTCCCTGACGATTGTGGGGGACGAGGAGAGGCCAGGACACCCGCCCTGATGATTGTGACAGACGAGGAGAGACCAGGACACCCGCCCTGACGATTGTGGGGGACGAGGAGAGGCCAGGACACCCGCCCTGATGATTGTGACAGACGAGGAGAGGCCAGGACACCCGCCCTGATGATTGTGGGGGACGAGGAGAGGCCAGGACACCCGCCCTGACGATTGTAGCAGCGGGTCAACAAGTGGACTACGAAGGGACTACAAGTGGACTACACGTGGACTACAAGTGGACTACGAGTGGACTACGAGTGGACTACAAGTGGACTACGAGGGGACTACGAGTGGACTACGAGTGGACTACAAGTGGACTACGAGTGGACTACGAGTGGACTACAAGTGGACTACGAGGGGACTACGAGTGGACTACAAGTGGACTACGAAGGGACTACTAGTGGACTACGAGGGGACTACGAGTGGACTACGAGTGGACTACGAGTGGACTACAACTGGACTATGAGGGGACTACGAGTGGACTACGAGTGGACTACAAGTGGACTACGAGGGGACTACGAGTGGACTACAAGTGGACTACGAGGGGACTACGAGGGGACTACGAGTGGACTACGAGGGGACTACAACTGGACTACGAGGGGACTACAACTGGACTACAAGTGGACTACAACTGGACTACGAGTGGACTACAACTGGACTACGAGTGAACTACAAGTAGTCTACAACTGGACTACGAGTGGACTACAACTGGACTACGAGTGGACTACAACTGGACTACGAGTGGACTACAAGTAGTCTACAACTGGACTACGAGTGGACTACAACTGGACTACGAGTGGACTACAACTGGACTACGAGTGGACTACAAGTAGTCTACAACTGGACTACGAGTAGACTACGAGGGGACTACGAGTGGACTACAAGTGGACTACGAGTGGACTACAACTGGACTACAAGTGGACTACGAGGGGACTACGAGCGGACTACATAGCCAAGCAAGAGCAACATAACCAGTTGGGCTACGAACCTAATCGTGTCCAACCTCAGCCAACCAGTTAGGATATCATGCAGATGACCGGTTATCGTGCTTCAACAGGCCCGGGTCAGCCAGTTATCGTGCCCTGACAAGCGTTAAATTGGACGCGGTTCGCCCTAATTAGCAGCCTACAAACCTAAACTATTCATTAATTAATTCCTATATATATATATTTGAATGATCAACTAATTGATTTTTATTTACATAAATATTTTGTTTAATATTTCCCCCGTGGCGCAGTGGTAAAGCACTTGCGAGTGATTTGGCATGGGTTCGTATCCTGGCCGGGGAGGATTGACTGGGCGCCAATCCTTAACTTTAGCCTCTGTAGATTATACATGTTGAGAACATATACAATTCTTTCTATTAACTATTTGTTCCTAATATTGAATAATTATAAACCACATATTCAAGGAAGGAAGGAATTATCAGAGGAACGCGCCAAGCCATTATGACTATATAGCACTGGGAAGGGGTCAGGATAAGGATTTGGGATGGGACGGGGGAAAGGAATGGTGTCCAAGCACTTGTGGACGGTCGGGGATTGAACTCCGACCGTTCAATTTATATGGAGCCATACTCTCTCCCCTCTTCTGTGGCAACCCTTCCCCTCGCGCGGCATGAGGATCAGGAGCTGGGATATGAGGACAAGGAGCTGGGATATGAGAACAAGGAGCTGGGATATAAGGACAAGGAGCTGGGATATAAGGACAAGGAGCTGGGATATGAGAACAAGGAGCTGGGATATAAGGACAAGGAGCTGGGATATGAGGACAAGGAGCTGGGATATGAGGACAAGGAGCTGGGATATGAGGACAAGGAGCTGGGATATGAGGACAAGGAGCTGGGATATGAGGACAAGGAGCTGGGATATGAGGACAAGGAGCTGGGATATGAGGACAAGGAGCTGGGATATGAGGACAAGGAGCTGGGATATGAGGACAAGGAGCTGGGATATGAGGACAAGGAGCTGGGATATGAGGACAAGGAGTTGGGATATGAGGACAAGGAGCTGGGATATGAGGACAAGGAGCTAGGATGAGGACAAGGAGCTGGGGTATGAGGACAAAGAGCTGGGATATGAGGACAAGGAGCTGGGATGTGAGGACAAGGAGCTGGGATATGAGGACAAGGAGCTGGGATATAAGGACAAAGAGCTGGAATACGAGGAGAAGGCTCTGGGACAGGTCGAAGGGAAAGGAACGGTGCCCAACCACTCGGAACAACGAGGAATCGAACGCGGACCTGCAAGAAGCGAGGCCGTCGCCCTACCGACCAAGCCAAGCGTTAAGATTTACAGAAAGAAGTGCTTATTGTGTTACGGTGAGGCCTTGTGTAGAGTTGTGTAGCCACACACACGGTCGCCGACTCCGACTGTGTACAGCGCTCAGGTTTCACTCAATGGTTTCTGCAGATGGTGAGGGGGGGGGCGGGGCTCCTAGGAACGGCTGCAATGTTGCTAGCAACACTGATACAGTCACAGTAGTCACGGTACATACATTCACGGTACCGTTACGGTACAGCGTGACTGTTTGAATAGTAAAAAAAAATGATAGGATGGATTACGAGAACTTTCAGGACTTTCAAGCCCGGCCCGAGGCCAGGGTTGACTTGTAAGAGTTTGGTCCACCAGGCTGTTGCTTGGAGCGGCCCTCAGGCCCACATACCCACCACAGCCCGGTGGTTCTACAAGGTAGCCAACTCCACCAAAATATTAAATATGTACCCAACTCAATAAATGATTAATCAACCAATTACTCCATGGGATAATTGGGATCTATCAGTTGATTTTGTAAATGCGCCCAAGAAAGATAGTGTGCACTCTACATTATTAAAACAGTTAACACTGAAAAGCATCACTGAAAGTACTCAGAGTATGGGTAACGATGTGTATCAGTGCTATACCGACGGCTCTGTAGAAGAAGGTGGACGATGTACCGGATGTGCATGTAATATATTTGAACAATCTTCTCTCGTACATACAGCAATAAAGCGCGTCAATGACTGGGCAAGTACAACTCAAACCGAACTTGCAGGCATATACCTTGCCACTGATTTTTTTAAAAGACAAAGGCAGTGGACTTATATACTGTGACTCGCAGAGTGCACTCCTGGCATTGAACGCACATAGTAGTGACTCCCAGAAAATAGTCAGTGATATTCGAATGAATGTTTTAGCTGCTAAAGAAAACAGATTTGAAATTAAATTCCTATGGATACCATCACATGTTGGCATCTCAAGGCATGACACTGTTGATATGCTTGCAAAGACAGCTTGTAGAAAACCAGTGGTAGAAATTGATATGAGTGTTTCATTAGCAGTGACAGAGAATACTTAAATATCTAATGAAGATCTCACCGATCTAACAAATTCGCAAAGACCTGAAAGTTGTAGCATTAAATATTATGATAGATATCGTGAGGAGACATTCACATATGGGACTAATAGAACAAGAACCCGGCAATGTGATGTTATAGTGACCAGAACACGCCTGGGATATAGACGTATCTGGCAGCTTTCTCAAAACCCAAATGTCGAGTACACAATGTGTCAACTTTGTGAAAGAGAAAACATGCACTCCCTTGAACATTATATTGTAGAATGTCCCATATTGACTGACTTTCGCCCTCCTGGGCTAAGGTATGCTGAACTCTGTAATTACTATATGAGTACTGGAACACTTGATGATATATTGGACTTGTACCAATACCCAAGATTAACCATATCAATTATACAATATATGTATGTGATGTAACTATATAACCTGAGCTTGTAAAAGCACCTTAATCACCTTTAGTGATTAAGTGCTTAATTGCACACTAGTTTCTCTATCAGCTATCTCACCCTGTCAGAGTAAAAGAGACAAATGTATGTGAATGCATGTGTGTGTGTATATATGTATGTATATGTGTGTGTGTGTATGCATATGTATGTGTATAAAGTATATATGGAAGCTGATCAGAATTACATTTCACTTTTGTAAATGCACATTAATGACACTATGTAAAAGACACATCAAACACTTTATGTAGGGCATACGTAAATCTGTGTATCTATGTATTTACGTATGTAGGTTAGCTTAGCATTTTTTAAAGCACCGAATCACCTTCTGTGGTTGATTGTTCAATAAACCCTTGAACTATATGTTTAACACATCTCTCGTGCGGGAATCGAACCCGCGCCACAGAATTACGAATCCTGCGCGCTATCCACCAGGTTACGAGGCCCCTACGTGAGAAATGAGGACGTGTGAGGGGGCAGGGGTTGTGAGGGGCAGGGACGTGTGAGGGGAAGGGACGTGTGAGGGGCAGGGACGTGCGAGGGACAGGGACGTGTGAGGGGCAGGGGTTGTGAGGGGCAGGGACGTGTGAGGGGCGGGGACGTGTGAGGGGGCAGGGGTTGTGAGGGGCAGGGACGTGTGAGGGGCAGGGGTTGTGAGGGGCAGGGACGTGTGAGGGGCAGGGACGTGTGAGGGGCAGGGACGTGTGAGGGGCAGGGACGTGTGAGGGGCAGGGACGTGGGAGGGGCAGGGACGTGTGAGGGGCAGGGACGTGTGAGGGGCAGGGACGTGTGAGGGGCAGGGACGTGTGAGGGGCAGGGACGTGTGAGGGGCAGGGACGTGTGAGGGGCAGGGACGTGTGAGGGGCAGGGACGTGTGAGGGGCAGGGGTTGTGAGGGGCAGGGACGTGTGAGGGGCGGGGACGTGTGAGGGGCAGGGGTTGTGAGGGGCAGGGACGTGTGAGGGGCAGGGGTTGTGAGGGGCAGGGACGTGTGAGGGGCAGGGACGTGTGAGGGGCAGGGACGTGTGAGGGGCAGGGACGTGTGAGGGGCAGGGACGTGTGAGGGGCAGGGACGTGGGAGGGGCAGGGACGTGTGAGGGGCAGGGACGTGTGAGGGGCAGGGACGTGTGAGGGGCAGGGACGTGTGAGGGGCAGGGGCTGGCCCTGCACGCCGGCCTTGACGCCTCAGTAGTGAGCCAGACACCGCCCTGGTCAGTGCCCCAGGATCTGTCCCTCGCGCGCATGCCCACCACCACTACCTCTCGCTGCCCCTAGTGCCACCCACCGCCTCACACGTGCCCTCCCGTACCCAAAGCACCGCCTCGTACGTGCCCTGTCGTATCCAAGCACCGCCCCTTACGTGCCCAGGTACCGCCTACCTGTCATTTCTCAGCGTACCATCTGTGAGGAAGATGTGGGGCGTACTGCAGGTGGTGGCAGCCTGGTGCCTACTGGGTGTAGCGGCCGAGCCGGACACCAGTGTCGGGCTACACTGGTGTAGCACCATGTGTATGTGTCCCGCCAAGACTCAGGACCAGCTCCGCTGCTTCGAACGAGCGAAAATGTTCGAATTCCTGGGCTACGCCGATAAAATGGCGCGAAGCTTGCTCCGGAGCGGGTGGAAGATGGAGGAGAAGGTGTACTGGTGCAGCGACCTGTGTCTCTGCCACACTAATAATGACAACCAGTTCCAGTGTGTACTGGAGGACAACGTCAACCATTTCATCAACGACAACTTCGGCTACCGGTACTTCTACGACTGGCGGGTGGAGGTGGAGGAGCGCGCCGTGGAGGACGACATGGAACAACAGGCCAAGGAGGCCGAGAAGAACAAGAACAAGAAGAAGAAGAACAAACCCAAGAAGAACGTGAAGGCCCGAGAAGAGAGTGTCACTCCCCGCGAGGAGAAGGTACAAGTTATAACTCCAGCACAGCCTCAGGTGGAGTCGCTGCCCACCACAGAGCGGGTGATGGTCATGTGGCCAACCACAACAACCACATTAACCCCTACCACAACCACCATACCAACCACAACCACCACAACAACCACAACCAAAGAGGAAGTGATGGAGGAAGAGGCAGAATTACTCCCAAAACAAGAGGCCGTGGCGGCCAGTCCGGCAGTGACGGCCATGCAGCCGCCCACCCGCCGCCAGCCCTTCCCGCCCACGGCGCCCGCCCCGCACGCCTCCACCCGCGAAGTGCACACCCTCCCGCCCAAGACCTCCGCCGTACTCGAAGTCCCCGTCGAGCGGAAGACCGTGGCCTCGGAGGTGTCGCAGGATCTCGACGAACTGGGGACCACCGTTCACCAGATCAAGGATGATGTGGTCCTCAATCAGCGCATTCTCCTCGTCACTGTCGCAATTGCTGGCATCGCAATGTTGGGGTAAGTTGCATTCACTTCAAACTCTATTCTGGGAGAGATCCCACTTTAACGTGGCTCGCTTGGAGTGTTTCCAGCGTAGTTTAGACTTTATAAATGAGTTTGGGTGGATGTGAGTACTAGCTGATTCATTTGGGTCAATAGGAGCTGCCTCGTATGGACCAATAGGAGCTGCCTCGTATGGACCAATAGGAGCTGCCTCGTATGGACCAATAGGAGCTGCTTCGTATGGACCAATAGGAGCTGCCTCGTATGGACCAATAGGAGCTGCCTCGTATGGACCAATAGGAGCTGCCTCGTATGGACCAATAGGAGCTGCCTTGTATGGACCAATAGGAGCTGCCTCGTATGGGCCAACAGCAGCTGCCTCGTATGGGCCAACAGCAGCTGCCTCGTATGGACCAATAGGAGCTGCCTCGTATGGATCAATAGGAGCTACCTCGTATGGATCAATAGGAGCTACCTTGTATGGACCAATAGGAGCTGCCTTGTATGGACCAATAGGAGCTGCCTCATATGGGCCAACAGCAGCTGCCTCGTATGGACCAATAGCAGCTGCCTCGTATGGACCAATAGCAGCTGCCTCGTATGGACCAATAGGAGCTGCCTCGTATGGACCAATAGGAGCTGCCTTGTATGGACCAATAGGAGCTGCCTCGTATGGGCCAACAGCAGTTGCCTCGTGTGGACCAATAGGAGCTGCCTCGTATGGACCAATAGCAGCTGCCTCGTATGGACCAATAGGAGCTGCCTCGTATGGACCAATAGGAGCTGCCTCGTATGGACCAATAGCAGCTGCCTCGTATGGACCAATAGGAGCTGCCTCGTATGGACCAATAGGAGCTGCCTCGTATGGACCAATGTTCTCGTGTTCTCGTGTTCTTAGTCCCTGGTGTTCTCGTGTTCTTAGTCCCTGGTGTTCTCGTGTTCTTAGTCCCTGGTGTTCTCGGGACACGGTGAAGTTACTGGTCCTGTCACTCGTCACTGATGACAAACAATGGTGAAGTGCGCATGCGCGTCACCATCAAAAAGAGCGCGAAAGGATGTTGGTAAACATCAAACTGTCCGGCCGCCTCGGCCTGATCCCTCCCTCATAGCCGGCCACCCCCGTGGTCTGGCTCATGGCCGGCCACCCCCGTGGGCTGGCTCATGGCCGGCCACCCCCGTGGGCTGGCTCATGGCCGGCCACCCCCGTGGGCTGGCTCATGGCCGGCCACCCCCGTGGTCTGGCTCATGGCCGGCCACCCCCGTGGTCTGGCTCATGGCCGGCCACCCCTGTGGGCTGGCTCATGGCCGGCCACCCCCGTGGGCTGGCTCATGGCCGGCCACCCCCGTGGGCTGGCTCATGGCCGGCCACCCCCGTGGGCTGGCTCATGGCCGGCCACCCCCGTGGGCTGGCTCATGGCCGGCCACCCCCGTGGTCCGGCTCATGGCCGGCCACCCCCGTGGGCTGGCTCATGGCCGGCCACCCCCGTGGGCCGGCTCATGGCCGGCCACCCCCGTGGGCTGGCTCATGGCCGGCCACCCCCGTGGGCTGGCTCATGGCCGGCCACCCTGTGGTCTGGCTCATGGCCGGCCACCCCCGTGGGCTGGTTCATGGCCGGCCACCCCCGTGGGCTGGCTCATGGCCGGCCACCCCCGTGGGCTGGCTCATGGCCGGCCACTCCCGTGGTCCGGCTCATATGGTCCTCCTAGGCCGGCCACCCCCGTGGTCTTGCTCATGGCCGGCCACCCCCGTGGTCTTGCTCATGGCCGGCCACCCCCGTGGGCTGGTTCATGGCCGGCCACCCCCGTGGGCTGGCTCATGGCCGGCCACCCCCGTGGGCTGGCTCATGGCCGGCCACTCCCGTGGTCCGGCTCATATGGTCCTCCTAGGCCGGCCACCCCCGTGGTCTTGCTCATGGCCGGCCACCCCCGTGGTCTTGCTCATGGCCGGCCACCCCCGTGGGCTGGCTCATGGCCGGCCACCCCCGTGGGCTGGCTCATGGCCGGCCACTCCCGTGGTCCGGCTCATATGGTCCTCCTAGGCCGGCCACCCCCGTGGTCTTGCTCATGGCCGGCCACCCCCGTGGGCTGGCTCATGGCCGGTACGTGTAGACGACTGCAGCAAGAAAGCTACCATATCTTACAGTGGGAATGTCGTGCTGTGAATCATGACCCAGACAGGAAGGCTGACATTCAACGTCTTCAGCCACTAATGCGCCGCTTTGACGCCCGCGCATGACGCCCGCGCATGACGCCCGCGCATGACGCCCGCGCATGACGCCCGCGCATGACTGCGGAAACATCCACACAACCGTTGTAGGCTGTGACTGGTAACACTTTTTGCAACACTTTGGTGTTGGACTTAAGACCTATCAACCTCTGGAGGGTTATTAAGACCACCACAATACCTTACTGACCAACCAGCAAGTTTGGTGTTGGACTTAAGACCTATCAACCTCTGGAGGGTTATTAAGACCACCACAATACCTTACTGACCAACCAACAAGTTTGGTGTTGGACTTAAGACCTATCAACCTCTGGAGGGTTATTAAGACCACCACGATACCTTACTGACCAACCAGCAAGTTTGGTGTTGGACTTAAGACCTATCAACCTCTGGAGGGTTATTAAGACCACCACAATACCCTACTGACCAACCAGCAAGTTTGGTGTCCACTCAGCCTGACGGCTGAGCGAACATCGCTCAGCACTCGTAATTATGTAGCCCGAGTACGATCCCCGGGGGAGGCGGAAACAAATGGACAGTTTCTTTCACCCTGATGCGCCTGTTCACCTAACAGTAAATAGGAACCAGGGAGCTAGACAGCTGCTACGAGCTGCTTCCTGGGTGTGTGTACTCATCTAGTTGTGCTTGCGGGGGTTGAGCTCTGCTCTTTGGGCCCGCCTCTCAACTGTCAGTCAACTGTTACTAATTACTAAATATTTTTTTTTTACACACATACACACACCCAGGAAGGAGCCCGTAGCAGCTGTCTAGCTCCCAGGTACCTATTTACTGCTAGGTGACAGGGGCATAGGGTAAAAGAAACTCTGCCCATTTGTTTCTGCCTGGTGCGGGAATTAAACCCGGACCATAGGATTACGAGTCCCGCGCTCTCCACTCAGCTACCAGACCCCCCCCCCTGTGTGTGTGTGTGTGTGTGTGTGTGTGTGTGTGTGTGTGTGTGTGTGTGTGTGTGTGTGTACTCACCTAGTTGTACTCACCTAGTTGTGTTTGCGGGGGTTGAGCTCTGGCTCTTTGGTCCCGCCTCTCAACCGTCAATCAACAGGGCCGTCAATCAATGTGTGTGTGTGTGTGTGTGTGTGTGTGTGTGTGTGTGTGTGTGTGTGTGTGTGTGTGTGTGTGTGTGTGTGTGTGTGTGTGTGTGTGTGTGTGTGTGAAAAAAATCTGTTGATTGATTGACAGTTGAGAGGCGGGGGCCCAAAAAGCCAGAGCTCAACCCCCGCAAACACTTCAAGGTTTACACACGTTCCCAACGTGAGTGTGGGACCACCTAACACACAGGTTCGAGCCCACATCACAGCTCCTGGAGTATGTAGGAAGTCGCGTGGACCTTCCTGCATAATAGAACAATGATAGATGGAATAGCTGGTGTGAATTTCACTTTGCCTCAAGTCTACCAGATTGTGTTTACTAGTTGTGTTTACTAGTTGTGTTTGCTAGTTGTGTTTACTAGTTGTGTTTACTAGTTGTGTTTACTAGTTGTGTTTACTAGTTGTGTTTACTAGTTGTGTTTACTAGTTGTGTTTTTACGGGGGTTGAGCTTTGCTCTTTCGGCCCGCCTCTCAACTGTCAATCAACTGTTTACTAACTACTTTTTTTTTTCCCCACACCACACACACACACACACACACACAGGAAGCAGCCCATGACAGCTGACTAACTCCCAGGTACCTATTTACTGCTAGGTAACAGGGGCACTTAGGGTGAAAGAAACTTTGCCCATTTGTTTCTGCCTCGTGCGGGAATCGAACCCGCGCCACAGAATTACGAGTCCTGCGCGCTATCTACCAGGCTACGAGGCCCCTGTGTTGATGTTCCCGGGATATTGCTGCCCTCAGGCGGCTCAAAGACAGTCCAAGATGGTAATCAATTCCCTCTTGACGAGCAAAAGTCTTGGCCAACTCATCAGTTCTATCATGTATTCGGAGACCAATATGGGAAGGAATCCACAGGAGTCCCTGTGGATTCGGAATCCACAGGGACTCCCCCTTCGGAATCCACAGGGACTCCCCCTTGGGAATCCACAGGGACTCCCCCTTCGGAATCCCCAGGGACTCCCCCTTCGGAATCCCCTTCCCACAATACGAACCCCTCGTCCACCCCCCTCTTTGCCCCCCCCCCTCCACTCGACCCCCCCCCTCACTGCTCGACTTAGTAACACTGGGAGAAACTAACCAATCCTAAACATGACAAACAAAGGCAATTGTTTGTGAATATTGTTTGGGAGAGGGGAGAGTTCCCTTTGAAGTGTCAGGGAAAGGGGAGGGGGGGGGTGGGGCCCCTGGATGGTAGAGGGACGGGGAGGGGGCCCTGACAACTGGTGAGTGATGGGGCCTCTCCTGTCACCCCTTCTCCCCATCATTCTAACAATCCACACTCACCCCTACCCCCCCACCCCCACCACTACCGTTCTCTCCACCAATAACACACCACTATGACCTGTGAGGGACCCAAGAGCTAGAGCTCACCTTCCCCGTAGTCACACTTTGGTAAGCACCCCAGAAACAAATTAAACCAATTGTCACCGACATCAACAATCACCACTATCGCTGACCTGGAGAGTGTGCAGAGATCCTTTACTCCTACAATCACCTGTGGTTGATTGTTCAATAAACCCCTGAACTATATGTTTAACAGATCTCTCGCCCTGTCCATGGAGGACTGAAGAAAATGTATATATGTTGGTTAGCATTGTAAATGTCCGGCCACGTATGTGGTAGAATAATAATAATTAAACACAACTGCTAGAATCCACTCAGTAAAACATCTAAAC